TACGGCATGTAGGATATTATCACATATGGCGGGAGAGCAGCGCTTGTATTTGGGCGCTTGCTCTTCCCCCGTAAACGACTTTGATCACCCATGTAGTGCTGAGGAAAGACTGCGTCACGGGAGTCATGGCAGCACACGAGATAACCCAAACGAACAGTAAAATAGGCTGTCTTGATGAGAACCTCGGGCTTTTGACGCCTGTCCCCGCATCAGGCATGGTAGGCGTCATACACAAATGTGCAACTCCATAATCTGTGACTAACCGCCAGACCCTTCGTTGTAGATATTTCCTCTGGCCGCCGTATCAAGATGTCCCTCGATCCTTGACGAAACACCATGTTCGATATATCATTTACGATGACGAGCTCACAAGATGTGTACACATGTGTGGAACATGATCGATCGTGCCGTCTCGCAGGGTACCCTGGCTGCCAGAGCAAGTCTTGCTGTCCTCCCGATATCCTCACTCACCTAGGTGTGGTGACACCTCGCTGTCGTAGTCACTTCAACAATCGTATTTCACGAGCATTTGACGAAACGATATCTCCGGGCGTTTAAGAAAGACGAATATATACCTCCCAAAGCCCGAGGTCCATTGAGCTTGGATCTACAGGCCCTCTCATCTCTCATGTATGAAATTCACTGTTCGAGGCAAAACCACAAGTCATATGCGTCTCCGTAGACGGCTTACTCTCAACGAGAAACGAACGCTGCACCGCATTCAAGCTACAATGAGGACTTCAGAGGTTACTGCCTAGGATGGTCGGATGCAGTGGCAGCGTGATTCACATAGTAGACGAGCGGAGGCACACATCAGCGAGCAGCTGTCACCAGCGCCGTCGAAGCAGCGACATGTGTAAAGCTCATCGGCATTATCACGACGAGAGAAGTCTGCTACGGCGAGGCAAGTAACAAGAAAAGGCTCAATAGCATTCTGATCCATATATGTAAACAAAACCAACCGGCATATCGTGAAACAATAATTCGTACCAGGTGAACACATCGACACTATTTTCCGCTCATGAAACAACCATC